AACCCCCCAAATGTCAGAACATGTCGTGACCTTGAGAACTGTGTGTCCCTACAGGCGGCCCCGGCAGTGGGAAGGGCACCCAGTGTGCCAACATGGTCAAGGACTACGGCTTCTGCCATCTGTCCTCCGGTGACCTCCTCAGGGACGAGGTCAAGTCGGGGTCAGAGAGAGGTCAGCGGCTCAACGCCATCATGGAGAAAGGAGAACTGGTTCCTCTGGTACGTACGATCCCATATAGCACTTCACTAGTACGTACGATCCCATATAGCACATCACTAGTACATACAGTCCCATATAGCACCTCAATGGTACATACAGTCCCATATAGCACCTCATTGGTACACACAGTCCCATATAGCACCTCAATGGTACGTACATCCCATATAGCACTTCACGAGTAAGGACAGTCCCATATAGCACCCCACTGGTACGTACATCCCATATAGCACTTCACGAGTAAAGACAGTCCCATATAGCACCCCACTGGTACGTACAGTCCCATATCGGCCACGAGAGCCTTCGCCCCACCATTGGCCTGACTTGTGTAGCACAGTTTAGACCGATATAAAAAAAAGCACGTATAAGTTGTGTTTTTTGCAATCTCAAGGTAATCTCTTTTCCAGGACGAGGTGCTGGGCCTGCTGCGAGATGCTATCGTGGCCAACCTGACAACGACCAAATGTTTCCTCATCGACGGCTACCCTCGGGAACTAGACCAGGGCGTCCGCTTTGAGAACGAGGTGAGCTTATCGTGCAGTAAGCTTCACATGTCGCGACCTCAGTGCTCTCTTGTCCTATCTCCATTTTTTTAAAATATGTAAAATGTGACTTTTTCTTAAGCTCACTCTTTGTTATTATCTTGGGAGTATAACTGACAGAGAGGGAGGGACGGTTGCTGAAATAAAGTCCTGCATTGGAAAAGCACAGGCTGCTTTCATATCTTTGGATAGGATTTGGAAGACCAGAGATATCTCACTTCGAACAAAGCTGAGGATTTTCATTTCAAATGTGAAGTCGGTCCTGTTGTATGGATATGAGACTTGGAATGCATCACAGACTTGCGTAAAGAGGATCCAGGTTTTCTTGAACAAGTGCCTTAGAAAGTTACTGAGGATCAGATGGACAGACAGGGTCACCAATGTGGAAGTGTTAAAGAAAACAAAACAGATCCCAGTCAGAGATGAGGTAGGAAGAAGGCGGAGGCGATGGATTGGACATACTCTCAGGAAGTCAAGCAGCTGCACAACAAAGAAAGAAAGTGTTAGATTGGAACCCACAGGGGAACAGATCAAGGGGAAGACCACGTGGAACCTGGAGCAGAGTCACAGAAATTGATGTACAGAAAAGTGGGAAGACGTGGAATAACATCAAGAGGCTAGTCCAGGATAGAGAAAGGTGGAAGGTGTTTGTCCGTGGCCTATACCCTGGTGCAGGGTGAGAAAGGCAATGATGACTCTTTGTTAGGAACTGTTTTCACTGTTAGTAAAAATGGAGATAGGACAAGAAAGCACTGAGGTTTCGATTTCTGCAACACTGGACAGAAGTAGAGCGGAGCAATTAGCCAGTCTATGATCTAGTAGTAGTATAGGGTTTTACGGCGCTCGCAACTGCTAAGGTCATATGAGCGCGCGTCTATGATCTAGTAGTAGTAGTAGTAGAGGGTTTTACGGCGCTCGCAACTGCTACGGTCATATGAGCGCGCGTCTATGATCTATTGGAATATGAATACTGCAAGGAAAAAAACAGCACACGTCTTTTGGTGACTTTGAGAAATTCTGGTTTTATTGTTTGGAATTTCTCTTCTTCAATTTTCAAAAGGATGTAAACATTTGTCCCTTTGTTGTAATATGTTATATTTTTTTATGATATCCAGATCGTGCAATGCTCCTACGTCCTGTTTTTTGTGAAGTGAATAGAGCTTGCTACTGAGTGAAGATATGCAAATAGAGCTTGCCACTGAGTGAAGATATGCAAATAGAGCTTGCCACTGAGTGAAGATATGCATATAGAGCTTGCTACTGATTGAAGATATGCAAATAGAGCTTGCCACTGAGTGAAGATATGCACTATGTACACATGAGGATTTATTATTGTTCTCTATGGGGTGGAAATCAGGCCAGGCTCTCCTTCATCTTTGGACGTGTAGAGTTATTGTTATCATCTTAAAGCTTGTTCATTTGTTTGGCTTTGGAGGAAAAAATATCCATCCATTTATCATGAATACAAGTCGAGATATTTGCGAATAAAGGAGGTGGGGGTCGCCTGGTTTCAGAGGTAAAGTTAGTGAGGAAATGGCCACCAAAGATTGATTTATTCCTTAGCTTGAGAGTCCGTGGAAATAGAAAATTTACATTTTTTGTGCCTTTAATCAACTTTTTTCAATAAAATCCCTACAGAAATGTGCACATTAATGGGCATGAAGTAAAACAAAAATTGGATAAAAATTCACAAATGTATGGAAAAATCCCAGTTTCTTCACTTTGATTATTTTGACGAGCGCCTGATTTCACCATGCCGCCTCCCATTTATTCTGATCCCCAGATCGTGCAATGCTCGTACGTCGTGTTCTTTGACGTGTCAGACGTGACGATGACCGCGCGCCTCCTGGAGCGAGGAAAGAGCAGCGGGCGCGTGGACGACAACGAGGCGACCATCAAGAAACGTCTCAACACCTTCCACAACCAGACCCGGCCGGTCATTGACTACTACAAGGGTCAGGGCAAGGTGCAGCAGGTGAGAAACTCTCGTGGGTCTGTGACTTTACTTAGTCTCACAGTTCTGTGACTTTACTTCGTCTCACAGTTCTGTGACTTTACTTCGTCTCTCAGTTCTGTGACTTTACTTAGTCTCACAGTTCTGTGACTTTACTTAGTCTCTTGGTTCTGTGACTTTACTTAGTCTCTTGGTTCTGTGACTTTACTTAGTCTCTTGGTTCTGTGACTTTACTTAGTC